CAAAAGAACCAACAGATCTGTGTTGGAAGAAGTGCAGCCAGAGTGCTCCTTGGAGGCCATGATGGCCAACCTTCATCTCTCAGACTTCGGACACATTGTCAGGAGGGACCAGTCACTGGAAAAGAATATCATGTTTGGTAGGGTGTAGGGTCAGAGAAAAAGAGGAAGACCCCCCCAAAGAGATGGATTGGCCAAGTGGCAGCATCGATGGACTCAAGTGTGGCAACAACAGTGAGGTTGGCCCAGCATCGGGCAGTGTTTTGTTCTGCTGTGCATAAGGTCGCTATGAGTCGGTACTGACTCGATGGCACCTAACTACAACAAACCCCTGCTTTATAGGAAGAGACACCAGTTCTTTTCTCCCTTAGAGTCACTGGTGGGTTCCAAATGCCTACCTTTTGGTTAGAAGCTGAGCCACCAGAGTTCACTGAAAATAACCATGTTGTTACTGTTAAGCGCTGTCGAGTCAGTTACGACCCATAGTGACCCTGCATAGGGTGTTTCTGAGGAGTGGCTGGTGAGCTGGAACCTCCAACCTTGCAGATGAAGCCGACTTTGCAGTCCAGCGCATTAATCCACAGCGCCACACCAGGAAAACAACCATAGGTAAGTGGAAATGATAAGCACTGAAAGAGATTACTAGATAATGTTTCTGATGACGATTGTGGTTGTTAGGTGCCATTGAGTTGGTACCTATTCGAAGCACTGATAGTGGCTAAGTTTAATTTTTCACACCCAAAGTTCAGACAGAAGACAGAGATTCCCACCACTTCCTGTTTGCATGCCCATCGTCCATCAAAAAGCTAGAACCATTGTATCACTTGTCTCAGTGAAGCAAAAAACTTTCAAACATGGTTGTTGTTAGGTGCCATTGAGTCGGTACCAATTCATAGCAACCCTATGCATAACAAAACAAAACACTGCCCAGTCCTGGGCCAACCTCACAATTGTTGCCATGCCTGAGCCCACTGATGCTGCCACTTTGTTAATTCATTTCACCGGGGGTCTTCCTCTTTTTCTCTGACCCTCCACCTTACCAAACATGATATCCTTCTCCAGTGACTGGTCCCTCCTGACAATATGTCCGAAGTATGAGAGATGAAGTTTGGCCATCCTAGCTTCCAAGGAGCACTCTGGCTGCACTTCTTCCAACACAGATCTATTTGTTCTTTTGGCAGTCCGTGGCACTTTCAATATTCTCCCCCAACACCGTAACTCAACAGCATCAATTCTTCTACAGTCTTCCTTATTCACTGTCCAGCTTTCACATGCACATGAGGTTATTGAAAATATCATGGCTTGGGTCAGGCACACCTTAGTCCTCAAGCTGACATCTTTGCTCTTCAACACTTTAAAAAGGTCTTGTGCAGCAGAATTGCCTAATGCAATACATCGCTTGATTTCTTGACTGCTGCTTCCATGAGTGTTGATAGTTGATCCAACAAGAATGAAGTCCCTGACAACTGCAATCTTTTCTCCTTTGATAAGAATGTTTATTGGTCCATTAGTGAGGATTTTTGTTTTCTTTACATTGAGAGCAATCTGTACTGAAGGTTGTGCTCTTTGATCTTCATCAGTATATATTTTAAGTCCTCTTCACTTTCAGCAAGCAAGGTTGTATCATCTGCATATCACAGGTTGTTAACGAGTCTTCCTCCAATCTTGATGACACGTTTTTCTTCATATAACCCAGCTTCTCGGATTATATGCTCAGCATACAGGTTGAATAAGCACGGTGAAAGAATACAACCTTGTCGCACACCTTTTTTAATTTTAAACCATTCAGTGTTCCCATGTTCTGTTCGAACTACTGCCTCTTGATCCACGTACCGATTCCTCAAGAGCACAATTAAGCGTTCAGTAATACTCATACATCGCAATGTTGTCCATAGCTTGCCATGATCCACACAATAGAAAGGCTTTGCATAAGTCAATAAGGCACAGGTAAACATTTTTCTGGTATTCTCTGCTTTCAGCCAAGATCCCAACATAGGTGGGACAAAAAGGCAATGGCTAGTGAAAACTCAATTGTAAGACAGTACAAAAAAAAAAAAAAAGGGTAATGAAAGAATTTCCAAATTCCAAATTGAGGAATTACTTTCTCTGAAGGAAAAGGGGCTAAATAACGTATCACTAAACTTTCAATAATAAAACCCCTCCCCCCAGAGATAAGAGTCTTACAATTTTAATAACACAATATTTTATCCCCAAACTTACTTTTTCCAAATCAAATTAGACCATTCATTATTGAAAGCCTTTTATGGGTAAAATAAACCATATTTTCCAAGTAGATGGCATTTAGGTTTCACAAAGCAGTTTCTGCATACAACTCTCAGGACCCATTATAGTTTCTGCTGAAACGGCCCAAGATCACGATTCATTTTTCCACAAACAGTGCACACCTTCTATGTCTATCAACAGAGCCCTCCTTTACAAGGTAGTTTCAAAAGCATGCTATGCTAATAGTTTTTTTTACATGTTGCCATAAAAAAATTAGCCTAACACACTTAATAAAATACTTGGGCGGGGAGGTTGGTTGGCAAACAAATGTAGAAAGTGCACTTTCTTTGTGTGGTCTTCTCATGACTAATCCAAATCTCCTTCTATCACTCTACCTGATTACATACTTCAGAGGCCGGGTGTGGCACTGTGGGAGAAACACTGGACCACAAGGCTGATTTGAACCACAAGGTCGGCGGTTCAAATTCACCAGTCGCTCCCTGGAAACCCTATACAAGGGTCACTATGAGTTGGAACTGACTCAATAGCATTTAATCACAATGACATTGCATGCTATAGTACCTCCCTCAGTACTGCACTAGCCAGCCTGTTGGCAAAATTCTCAAAGTATATTGCTGTTGTTAAGTGCTGTTAAGTCGGTTCTGACCCATTAGCGACCTTGTATAGGGTTTCCGAGGAGCAGCTGCTATGTTTGAACCACCAACCTTGCAGTTCAAGCAAACTTTGCAGGTCAGCGCATTAACCCACAGCACCACACCAGGATTTGGAGTTGGAGAAAATCACTAGCAGTAAAGTTCTCAACGAGGCCTGCTAGCACAATGGTCAACACTCAGCTGCTATCAGAAAAATTAGTGGTTCGAACCCACACGATGGCTCAGCAGAGGAAAGACCTGGCAAGCTGCTTCCATAAAGATTACAGTCCAGAAAACCTTATGTGGCAGTTCTACTCTGTTACAACAGGGTTGTTAAGAGTCAGAATCAAATTGAGTGTGCCCAACAACAACCAAGTTCTTCATGTCCCTGGGTAATGTAAACAGTTCAGTGTTCAGCTATCAGCTGACGGGCTGACAGTTCAAATTCACCCAGAGGTGTCTCAGGAAAACTGTTTCAATTGTATCTGAGAATTTACTTCAGAAAGATCAGTCACGGAAAACCCTCTGTGATCACCTCTACTGACACACACGGGGTTACTATGAATTAGAACTGATACAGTGGCAACTGGCTTCTTATGGGGAGAGTAGGGAGCTTTCTAAAATGAGAAAGGGGGACTGAAGTGAGATGACTTTCTAATAAGGATAAATTCACCTCAGATTCCCACACGATCCAGATCTTGCCACTCGGAAGTCTACCCAAATAGTAGGAGTTATAAATATGTAAGCAGTACTGTTGGTTATGAAGTCCCGGGGTGGCACTGCAGGATAATGCACTGGACCGCAAGGTCAGTTTGAACCACAAGGTCGGGAGTTCAAACCCACCAGCTGCTCCTCAGAAGCCCTAGACAGGGTCGCTGTGTCGGCACTTAAGAACCACAACAACAATATTGGTTATGTGTCTTATTATCATTTCAAAGGCAATCTCTTATCGTCTTGGTGTTTCCAGCTACTCACTATAAACTGGAAGCATTTACGAACCAGTATTCTATTCCGTCGCTATGGGTCGGAACCGACTCGACAGCACTTAACAACAACAACAACAACATTCTATTCCGTAACTCAATGCCAACGGTCGCGCAAAAACCACTGGCCTTTTATTCCTCATGGCTCTTTACATCCCCAGCTTCCTTCCCACTCTACCATGGTCATGACAGTTTATCACAAAACTAACTACCCAACGCTTTTACATCCCAACCCTACTGTAGTAAGATCCTCTGCTTCCTCTGTCACATCCATACCCTTCAAACTATTAGGGATAGAAAAATAATTATGGCCTCACCAGCTGCAAGGAGGTTGAAGTGAAGCCAAGTCCTTGAACAGTTTACCTTTAGTTCTGGTCCTAAATTTTTATACAGAGACATAGGGCACCACCAGGGAGCAGTGTGTTTCCTACTTTCAGAGCATGCTTGAAGTAATTTTCAGCTTCATTTTTTCCTAGACTTGATTATCAATATTGAGTTGCCACTAATAGAGAATTTGATACAACAGAGATATAAACCATAGCAAGCTACAACTCCGGAGTTGAATAATCCTAACTCTTTTGGAAAATACTGATGCCATTTAGCATTAAGGAAGAAGGGGAAGAAAGGGCTTCTACTTCCAGTTAAATACCTTGGTGATTATCAGTAAGAAAGAAAAGAGAATCTGAAAAGTTCTTGAAAGTTTCATGTAACTCCATTGTGTAGAAGCTTGTTAATATACATATACATATGTTGTTGTTGTTAAGTGCCATCCATTCTGACTCACAGTGACCCTGTATAGGGTTTCCAAGGAATGGTTGGTGGTTTTGAACTGCTGGCCTTGCAGTTAGCAGTCCAGGGCTTATGCTACAGAGCCACACCAAGACGCCATACATATATATACATATAAAACTAAAAGTCAAAATCCTGGTATCTATTTTCAGGTTGGAGTCCTGGTGTGGTGTTGTAAGATAATGCACTGGACTGCAAGACTGGTTTGAACTGTAAGGTCAGCGGTTCCATTCAAACCCAACTCTTAAGCATTCAAGAGGCATCAGTTGATGGGACTAGGTCAGACAGGGAATCACAAAGCACCCAGGCATTGATCTTATTCTCTGCTCTACAGAGCTCTTCATAGGGCCCATACCTGCTGGGTGAGGAGATTTATGTGGCTGGAGGGAGAATACTGCCGAGCCGCCTGCTTCTCTGCTAGCCGCTGAAGCTCAGCCGTAACCAGACTTTGGCTGTACCGTTTGCTGCAGGAGGAACCATCCTCTCCCTCTCTCTGTACTTTGGCTACTGCTGAATGATGCTTGTTTGGATGGCATGAACCTGCTAAAAAAGAGAGAAAAAATTTCACCACTTGGAAAAAGAAGTCCTAAGAAACACTAGAATAATGGAAAAAAACTCTCAGGCTAACAGATACTTTATTAATTCTCAACAACAGACAATTTCAGTTCCCACAAAGAAATTACAGCAACAGGGACCTCTGACAAATAAGGCGCACTAACTTGTTCTCGGATGCTCACAAAAAGAATAATCCCTTACACAACTCTAAAAACTCTCCCTACTGGCAAATAACTACTTGAATTATCAATGTGTTTTTACCTTCTACAAAAGAATGTTCATCGTATGTATAGAATCCTGGCATGGCGCTGCAGGATAATGCACTGGACTGCAAGGTCAGTTTGAGTTGCAAGGTGAGCAGTTCAAGCTCACCAGCCACACCACGGAAACCCTATACAGGGTTGCTATGGGTTGGAATTAACTTGACAGCACTTAACAACAATAACAACATACACAGCTTGAGTCTAGGGGATATTGTCATGTATGTTAGTCTCAGATTGTTGTCTACTGTTGGTTCTTTGTCCAAAGAACTCGTTAGTATTTTTTGTAAAGTTGGTCTGGTTTTTATAAATTGTTTTCATTATTGTTCATCTGGAAATAACCTAATTTCACCATCGTATTTGATTGACACTTTTGCTAGACATTAATTCGGCTTTTCATTGATTCAATTCTATTTCTTTGCCCTTCAGTGTATTATCTATTTCTCAAGTCTCAAGTATTAATCTTCTGGCTATCTAATTGTTTTTGTACGGTTCACATTTTTCTAATTATTCTGTTAGTTTATTTCCTGAATTGCCCATAGTTTTGACTATGTTTTCCTTTATTTCATCTACAGTTTTCTCCCTCTTTCTCACAATCTGTTGCGAAGTTACCTAATTAGCATTCCTTTAAAATCCTTATCAGGTAGTTCTGATACCATTTCTGGCACTGTATTTTGGTCACTTATTTGAAGTACTCTGTCTTGTTTCTTAGTGGAAATTGAAATTGTTTGGTTTCTTCACGACATTGTGGTATCACATTGATATTTAGTTGACAATTGTATATTGATGTATTCTCCTGATGAATGTGGTAGAGACCAGAGGTGTGAACACACTTCTCTGTTCACTGTTCGTGTACCATAGTTCACGGCGGGTTTACCTGCCTTCAGAAGCAGAGCAGAGACTTTCCAAAAAGGGGTGCCACTGGCCACTGGGTTGGTGAAGACAAGGACTGGTTATGTTCCCCAGCCACCAAGAGGGCATGGGAGAAAGGAAGGATTGCACCCCCTTGCCACCAGCCTCCAGCCATGTCCTGTGCCTGCAGACCACCGTATCAACAGCTGCTCATAAAAGCTCCCGATAGCTGTACCACCATTCTCTTCTCTCATTGTTCCTGCTCAGCTGTCTCTTCCAGTGGGCACGCAATCCACCTTACTGTCCTGTCCCCTGATGCCCTGGGCTTTGCGATCACCATCTTTAAGCATGCCACTTGGTCTCCCATGTCTTTGTTTCAGAGATGAGCTCAATGAGTCTCTGCCATCTTGGCTCAGACTCCCAATCTGGTGTTTTTCCATCTAATTCTACTCGTCACTAGTTTGAGGTAACGATTACCAAATCAATCTTAATACTTTTTACAAAGCTTCAAAGGGAAATGGGGATGAACACAAAATTGAGTATATGCAGAAAACAGCAATAATATTATTCCAAGTGACTGGTTTTCCTTTATGATTTAAATTTCCTTCTTTCAACTAGGTTTTATTATATGTGAGCTCTAAAACTGTTAATCCCTTATGCTATATAAACAAGTGACAGGGCCCTGGTGTGGTGCTGTAAGATAAGCACTGGACTATTAACCCCAAGGTCAGCAGTTCAAACCCACAGTTGTTCTTTGGGAACCCTATCCAGGGTTGTTATGAGTTGGAATGGACTCAGTGACACTTAACAACTTCAACAAATTTCTGGCAAAAATAAATTATTAGATGTAAAATCAAAGTCGATCATTTTCTAAATTATAAAAGTCACACATTACAACAAAAACAAAGTGTTTTAACCCAGAAAAGTAGACAGGGAGAGAAATCTTTCAAATACTATCACTTAATCTACTATGATTTATATTAACATTACTCGTAATTAACACAAGAATAATATTCATGTATTCCCTTTTATTAATGCTTATGTAGTCATGATTATTCTACATACAATTTGGTTATGTTCTTAAGAATTAATCTGTAGCCTTACATGTTGAATATATTGATATATATGGGTTACAAAGCACACTGTAATGTACAGCTGTGAACCTACTTCCTAACCCAAGAACTACCATCACACATCATGCATCAACCCATAAGGTACTCTCCACCCCTTTCAGCATTCCCTTTTGAAATATAGTTTTAACATATGTATGGATGTGTGTTTGTGTGTATAGATGCGTATGTTAAAAAACAACAACAACAACAAAAGAGTTAACTTTGATTTTGATCTCTGTGAAAATGGAATCCTATCTTAGTGGTTTCCTGGAACTTGCGTTTGTTATTCAACAACATACCTCCAAGATTTAGCCTTATTATTTCAGGATCATTGAAATTCATTCATTTTATCTGCTGATACTCCATTTTGTGAATAAGCCAGAGCTTATTTTCCTATTCCCTCATCAATGGAAATGTTGGTTATTCCGAACTTTTCGCTCTTATAAACCGGGCAGCCATCGCTGGGGGCATTGGTACATGCCTAGAAGTAGGTTTTCCTGAGATATGAATTTTCAAATTTATGTGGTATACCTAGGTGGTTATGCCAATTTACGTATGCACAAACAAGCATTTCTATCAATGATCTTCTCTCACACTTAGATTGTCAAGCATTTCCATGATTCTCTAAACTAAATCCACTACTCTCAAAACAACTCTGACCCACAGTGACTGCTGGCACAGGAAAACGGACACAGTTTCCAAGGCTATAAACTTTTATAGAACAGTCACAACCTTTCAGTGGTGAAAAGGCCCCTCAAGTTTTCAGTAAAAGTATGCAAAAACTCACTGGAGTCTTCATTTACAATCAATTATAAAGACATTCAACTAATGTCACCTCTTTTCTGATATGTCAGTTCATGTCTTTAGAAAATTTTCTAGTGAGCTGTCTTTTTCTTACTGATTTATGAGTTTTGCTTTTGTTTTGACCTTTGCTAACTACTACAAATGTTAGTGATGGGTCACCTGCACCCTACCCTATAAGCTTTCTGTTTTATACTGGGAATTCATTTTATGCATGGCAGGTGGCAGGGATCTAATTTCACTTATGTGGATAACCAATGTCCCAGAACCATGCATTAAGTAATCCTTTTCTTTCTCTACTGTCCTACAATGCCATCTCTGTCATTAATCATAGTTCCGTTTGTTTTGGGGCTTTCTATTCTGCTTTACTGATCAGTGTGTTTGTCCCTTTGCTAATATTTTACTGTCTGAACGATCATACCTTTTTATTAAGTCATAAAAGTGTGCTCCTCCACATTTTTCTTTTTGAAGAGGTTCTCACTATTCTTGGCCTCTGTCCTTTCATTGTTTTAGAACCAGTTGGTCAGGATTAACAACAAATGTGTTGAGATTTTGGTTGAAACTGCATTGAATCTAGAGATTGATTCGGTGAGAATGGAAACTTTACTATATTGAGTCTTGGTGACCATGAGTTAGAACTGACTCAACAGCACTGAGCTTGGCTTGGCCTTTATCCATGTACATGGTAGATGTATGCATTTATTTCCATATTCCTTAAGGTATTTCAACAGATTCTTTACAATTTCCTTATTAAAGTCTTCCCTACACTTATCGTTGGGTATTTTAGAGTATTTTGCTATTGTATGTTTATCAAAACATTGTTTTCCAAGAGAGCTTCAAATTGGTTTGAACCAGTTAGTCATAGCTGATGCAGTGAAACTGGAACAGACTCAAATTTGTAAACCCCGGAATTATATCAGAACAGCAAAAATTAAGAATCAAAGCCAAGGAATGAGAGACTTGGAAGAGACATAGTGAGGTCTTTCAAGAGCCTGGTAAGGGAGATGGAATCATTGGCCGGACGGGGGAGTGGCATACAGTCAAAGGCCAGGTCAGCTTCACCTTTGAGCTAGACACTACTGTTTATGACTCTGAGGAAATACCAAGAGATTTGGTTGGTATGCAATGTGCATACCGCCATTTAAATTTCTAGAAAGGCATCAATCCATAATCTTTCTACTTCCAGTTATTGTTCTGGTGTGCCCACATTTAAAAATCTGCTGATATATATATATATATATATATATATATATGAAATGTGTGTGCAAAGTTGTTGTTATTCTGACTCAAAGCTACTCTGTATAGGGTTTCCGAGGAGCAGCTGGTGGGTCTGAATTTCTGACCTTTTGGTTCGCAGTCAAGTGCTCACCCTACAGAACCACACCAGGAGTCCAAATGTGATTATTTTATTAGTGTATACACATTTAGAACGATTTTCTTTTTCACCTGAACTGAACCTTTTATCATCACACGAATACCTTGAAGATACTACTGATTCTGTTCCAGACCATCACAGTAAAGTAAATCACACACATTTTTTGATTTCCCAGTGCATATAAGTTACGTTTACACTACATTGTGGTCTATTAAGTGTGTCATGTTGTTGCTGTTGAGGTGGTGTCAAGTCAGTTCTGACTCATAGTGACTCTGTGTAGGGTTTCTGAGGAGCAGATGGCAGGTCTGAACCACTGACCTTGAGGTTAGCAGTCCAGTGCTTATCCTCCAGACTCATGTCAGAACCCCAAGTGTGCAACGGTATTATGAAGAAGTTTGAAATACTGTGAGAACTGCCACAACGTGGCACAGAGACATGAAGTGAGCATAGGCCACAGACCTTTTGTGTATGAAACCTTTTAAAAACCCCATAATATCTGCTAAGTGCAATCAAGTGAAGCTCAATAAAGCCAAGTATATTTGTATGTAATTGTTCTGTACATCTATAAGAAAGATTTTTATCTAGTGCATATTAATACAGTTTCCCAAGCTTTCTTCTGATGAGTATTTCCTTCTTCTTCCTTTATTTCAGCCTTCTATGACTTGATGTCCTTTTATAAATGGCATAGAATTGGATTTTTAAAATGGAATCTGACAACATGTAACAAGTTTAAGTTCAATCTATTATATTTATTTGTGTTCATTTCTTTAGACTTGGCCTTACAACTTTTGAATTTCTATCGATTGTGTTTTTTCCCTCTGACTCTTGGTTCTATGTTTCTATTTGTTCTTGTTTTTTTAACCTCATTCTAGTTTTCTTCTCCCCATAGGTTTAGAATTTACATATTTATATTCTTTTAGTGGTGACCTTTAAAATTTGAAACTGTGCATTAACTTTTCAAAGTCTAGGGTTACATAGCACCTTAACCTTCTTCCCAAACTATTCAATCACCATGAAAACATTTAACTCCAATTACTTTCATGCTGTTGTTGTCTATTTTATTTCTCTAGTAAACCATAAAGAAGCCTGGAAATTTTCCCAAGGATAAGTCATGCAAAGTATGTTCTCTGACCACTGTGGAACTGATCTAGAAGTCAGTTACATATGGTGGGAAATCCCCCAACTACTGGAGACTGAACAACAGACTTCAAAGTCATCCAGGGGGTCAAAGAAGAAATTACAACAGAAATTAGAAAATATTTTTGAACTGATCAATTTTTTCCCTTCCCAGTCCTCTCTGGAGGAAGGTATGGAAAAGGAAGGTTTCCAAAAAGAGTTCTGATGATAAAATTTATTACTGAAGACATTAATCTTATTGAATTTCTCACATAAGAAAAGAAATCTCAAACCAGAGCAGTATTTATTATGATTCCTGGTTTCAGAAAATAAAAGCCACAGGAAAAATAATTATCCATTATCAGCACAGGCACACATTATGCACACATTTATATTCATGACTTATTAAAGTGGACATCTGACATATTTGATTCAAGTTGCAAATTACAACATCCATCTTATTTTAAATCAGGTACTGACTAACACATACAGGTTGGCTATTTACACAACGTGGCTCAGATACAAGTACCCTTAAAACGGATACTTAAAACTTAATCAATATTAAAATAGTGATCTACAGATTCCATGTAATCCCTCTCAAAATCTCAGCTGTCTTTATACAGAAATAAACTAACTGATCCTAAAATTCCTATGGAAATTCAAGGGCTCTAGTAGAACCTAAACAATCTTTTTAGAGAATAATAAAGTTGAAAGAATCACACTTGGTGATGTCAGAACTTAGTGCAATTCTACAGTATTCAAGACAGTGTTTTTCTGGCTTCAAGACATACAGGACAAAGGATTAGAATTGGAGCTCCAGTCATGTTCCATTTATGATCAACTGAGTGCCAAGACAATTAAATGGGGAACAAATACTCTTTTCAACAAATGGTGTTGGGACACTGGCTATATACCACATCCCACAGAATGATGCTGGATTCCTACTTCACACCACACGCAAAATTTAACTCAAAATGTTCAAAGATCTAAATGTAAGAGGCTAAACAACAAAACTCTTAGAAGAAAACATACAAGTGAATCTTTGTGACCTTGGGTTTGCAATGGTTTCTCAGATATGCAAGAGCATAAACAACAACATCAAAACAAAAAAACCCCTAGATACATGAGGCTTGATGAGAATTAAAAAGTTTGATTTTTAAAACAGTGAAATGACAACCCACAGAATGGGAGAAAACATTTGTCAATCAGAGAGCTAACAAGGGACGACTTGTATCCAAAATACATGAAGGCGCTTCAGTGACGCAACAATAAAAAGACAATCATGCAATTTAAAAATGGGCAAAGGATTTAAATATGTATTTCTCTAAAGAAGATATACAAATAGCTCATAAACACATGGGAAGATGTTCAACATCATTAGTCACTCGGTAAATGCAAACAAAAATCACAATGAGATCCAACTTTACACCCAGTAGGACGGCTGCCATAAAAGAAGACAAGACAATCACAAGCGCTGATAAGGATGCTGAGAAACTGAGCCTCAAACATTTCTGGTAGGAATGAAAAACGGTGTAGCCACTAAGGAAAACAGCTTGGATGCTGCTCAAAAGTAAGAATTATAAAATTACCAAAAAACAAAACAACAAAGAATTATAAAATTACAAACAAAACAACAAAGAATTATAAAATTACCAAAAACAACAAAGAATTGTAAAATTACCAAAACAAAACAACACAGAATTATAAAATTACCAAACAAACAAAACAAAACAACAAAGAATTATAAAATTACCATAAGACCCAGCACTTTCACTCCTAGGTATGCACCCAGGAGAATTAAAAAAAAACATATTTCAACATAAAAACTTATAAATGAATGTTCATAGTAGTACTCAGCATTATCAAAAAATAGAAACAAACCAAATGTACACCAACTGATGAATGCATAAACAAAATGTGGTATAAGCTATGGTAAGCTATGGTATATGCACACTATGGAAACTTAGTGATAAGAAGAATGACGTGCTGATCAGTGCTACAACAGGGATGAACCTTCAAACATTCAGCTAAGAGAAAGGAGCCAATAATGGAAGATCAGCTGTTGTGTGACTCCATTTCCCCGCAACGCCCAGTAAAGACAGTAGACCAGTAGCAGCCAGGGTTAGGTGAGAGGAGGGAACAGAGAGTGACTGCTAATAGGGATGGGATTTCTTGTTGGTGATAAAAATGCTCTAACATTCGATAATGATGCTGTTTGTACAGCTCTGTGACTTTAGCAGAAAACCACGGAACTGTACACTCTAAAAGGGTGAATTTTATGTGAATTATGTTTCAATAAAACTGTAAAAGATTGGGGGAGGGACATAACATAGATCTACTTCATTTAAAATGAGATACCCTATTTTTAGAGTTCTTTGGTTATTTTTACAGGTCATACCTGGCTCTAAATACATTAAAAAACAAACACTATTGATTTGTCTGATGCCAGGAATAAATATTTGAGTCAGAAAGAATGCATACAGCACAGTTATAAGTTGGATGAGCTGGATGGGAAATCTCTTGACTGGACTGCAAATTCCTAGTGGACGGCAGCTTTCTCTAGGTGCCCAACACCTAAGTCCTGTTTCATTTCGTATCAATGAATAAATGCTACTAGACCAAATGTAAGCCTCTTAGTCACATCCGAACACTTCAGCAGGTGTCCCATAACCCTTCAAAGGAAAAGGCAAATGGAAGAGAGACGACAGTCTTTTCTTCTCAGGGCTAGGAGAAGCTGACGTTTTGGTCTGCTTTCGTGTTCTCACTCACCTGCCTTTGCTGAAGAGGGACGAGACAGTTTCTGGCTATAGATATGTGCAGCACTTTGGAAGGAGGAAAAGGGGCCAATGGTGTAACTGCCTGACCGACAGCGCGGCAGGCCAGCGGGGCTTGGTACGTTCTGTGTCCCAGGATGTAAAGAAGGAGAAGCACTGTCAGGGACTGCGCTTGGTAAAACTGTTGACGGGTGAGGCATGCTGGGGATAGCTGGAGGAATCTGAGATAAAGAATGGTGGCCAGGCCCTGGCGGGAGGTCAGAGGTTGTGATCATAGACGACAAATGGGCGTTGGGAGTTTTCTGCAGAAGAGCAGCAGCAGGACCAGAGAAAGAAGTTGAGGAAGAACTAGTATAGACTAATTTAGCCTCTTTCTCTGCTGCAGTGGTAAAACCTATTAAAACAAAAAACAGATCATTTTAGGAAAAGCTGACATATAATCTGTATAAAACATAAACATATTTTAAACCTCAAAATAATCCTAGCATGAAGCAGAAATCACGAAAAATTCAGACTTCAGTAAGTATTTGCTCTGAAGCTAATGAATTTTGCCTACCACAGGTGACCTGGCAACAGAAATGGTGGTGGTAGTGATGCACTGTTGAGTTGGGTCCCACTCAGAGTGATCCTGTGTAGGGATTCTGAGGCTGTAAGACTTTATGGGAGCTGAATTCTCATCTTTCTCCCATGGAACAGCTGGTGGATTTGAACTGCTGACCACGTAGTTAGCAGCCTCATGTGTAGGCCACTGCCTAACAGAAACAGGAGTCTGTTTTGGTTCTTTCTAAAGCTAGAGTTGGACTAACTTTACAAAACAGACCGGGAGGGTTTTCTGATCATCAAAGCTAAGTCCTCTTCTTTTCGTTTCACTTTTCAAAGAAAAAAAAGTGCTAAGGATTTCTAAATATTAGGAAAATAAAAACATTTTTTAGAAGAAAAATGGATTATCAATAAATGAGAGAAATTTCTGGGGAAAGAAAGTACCAACGAATAATGTCCCATGCTTTAGAATCATCTACCTTCGCATGACTTGCTTTTTTTTTTTTTTTATTAAATGTTTTTATTTTGGATTGAGTGAAAGTTTACAGGGCACATCATCAGCTTCACATTCAACCATTCATATAGCTTGTTTCATTACAT